GCCAACAGCCAAATATTCTGGCTCTTTTCCAAAGGCTACACCAATATCCAAAATTGCTACTGCTTTAAAAAGTCTTCTGCTGCAGAAACACAAATACAGGAAAGATCTACTTTATTCCATACAACTGGAGCCTTTGAGCACTCTCAAGAAGAGATGACTTTTGCTGCATGTGGCCTAGCATTGCCAGCTGCATCACACAAACTCAAGAGGAACAAAGCTACAATGACATACTCCCAGTATGCCAACAAAATGGTTTTGCACCAGTCTCCTCTTGCCAGTCTGGCACCCAGGAAGAAATCATGAATGAGCAGTTCTGACATGCAAAAAAAAAAAGACAGGAGTATACAAAGACAGCTGGAGTATTACAAAGGTGCATCAGAACAATTGATGTGATAGGCTTTGGAATGAAAAAACAAACAATACTCAAGTGTTTACCTTCCACTAATCTCAGACAAAAGTAGAGAAGAGATAAAGCAAAGAACAAGAATAACATGTTCCCACACAAAATGAGTGGTTTTGTTGGCATTTTACCAGAGTCAAGAATGAACTTACATACATATTTGGGAAGCTAAGCTTATTCTCCTCACTGTGTTCTGCTCTGATACCAAGGAGAAAAATCAGCTTTTACTGTAGGCTATCTACTGTTGCAGGGCAGGGGACAGCACCCATGGACTAGGAGGAGCTGTGCTGTGCTAAGGAACTATACCCCAAGGGTCAGAATCTGTTAGAGTCATCTCCAACCCAATTCATGGCTTTGTAGTTCACTTGCTTATCTTTTACTTCCCATCAGCTGCAAAGAACCTTTCCACTCCAGGAAACCAAATAATTTGTGAACAAAAACTTGACATCTAACCTCTTTACCCTCAAAATTTTAAAAATAATATCCACATTCAATATTACACAAACAATGTTGCAAAGCTTGCAAGACAACTGTGGCAACAGATGCTCACATTTTTCTTCTTTGTCAGCTTTGTCCATAACCATGAAGTTCTTCAGGTAACTGTGTGCTCAATACCTTCTTCCAGGTTTTGAGTGAGGTTTTTTTGTTTAGTTGGTTTTGTTTTATTTTTTTCTCCTTCCATGATGGTAAAATGATAAATTAACTGGGACTGAATTCCATATAGAGATCTGTAAGAAATCCTTCTAGAATCATCATGGTCTACCCTGTCAGGGAATACTTGTGCAAGACTGTGCACTGAGGAGGGTTAGCCACAAATAATGTTTCCCTCTAAGTTACCATTGTCTACACCAACAGTCAGAAGTTAAATAAGTTTTGAGCATACTGTCAGGACACTACTTAGAAGAAATACCATGTGACAGACACAGTATCTAGGCAATAGGTTAATTCTTAACAGGCCAAATTTTCAGAAGATTTATTTTCAATCACTATATTTTATTACACAAGTACCAAGTCCCAAGGATTAACCTAAAGTTACAGAGCTTCCATTTCTGTACATACTGACATTTTAGCATTGAAAAAATCCCACAAGTCCTTTCAAAAACTGTTGTCTAGGGTTATACTTATTTTTAGAGACAAGTTTATAATCACATCAGGATGGGCCATTTTTTTAGAAATATCTGGTAATAAAGAAACAGACAAGAAGGTGACATTTTAAAAAGAGCATGTTTAATGATATTCCCTTCTTGTCTCTTTACTGAGAGAACCATAAAGTAATCACAAGTATTATCTATTTCAAATGGACAGTAGAACTGCAATAAATTGCTGGAATTCATAGTCTTAAATTCCTAACAGAAACAGTCTAATACTTGATTTCCACTCTCACTGTTTCCTAGTTTATTCTAGCTAGTTTCATTCCAGTTTCATTCTCTATGACAGACTATATTAACAATGTTTGTTAAACGTGTTTCTGGAAGCATTTAAAGTATTTCTTGAAACAGTAAATTACTGTGTGTTCCTAGACTGTTATTTATGCTTCAAGAATCAAAATAGTTTTGTAAACTGTCAGACTAATCTTGAAAGTTATGATAACTGAACTGAAGTAACTTCCTGATATTCACCATCATTTAAAGTGACTGGCAAGTCAACTCAGGGAAAAAAAATGAAATCATTATATATTCATCAACTTCAATACCTACTATCAAGCTTGAAGAAAATCAGCTTATATGCCTCGAATATGCTATTAGCTTATTGCCAAGACCTCAATTGTAAGTGGGTTTAAAAAGGAGTATCATCCTTTTTTAAAAAAATCCCCCACTAAGGGGCTCCTATCAATTTCTCTTTGCTTACAGAAAGCCTGGAATTTACAAATACACTAATGAGAAGACCTTAAAAAAAGCCACACATTCTGCCCCAACCTATTCAGCTATCATTTACAAATAAAAGCAACTGAAAAGCAGTATACAAGCATTTGTCAATAGTTCATGAATCTTCCTAACTCCTTTATCAATTTTCATGAGAAACCTTGTGTAGATAAAAGTACTGAGATGTTTATTATGCACATCTGATGATCACATACCTATACACATATGTATGTGTATCATATATATAGGTATGCAAACATCCACACACTCAATCCTGACAACAGCAGAGGTCTTTCATCTTCTTGGTTTTAAAAAGATCTCTTCCTTAACCCAAACCTCCTCATGACAAAAAAAAGGTGTCTTTTGGAACAAAATTGCTGAATAATTTGAGTCAAATGTACTGAAAAACCTGACCCAAACAGGCAGTTGGGCTAAATGACTCCTTTTACCTGAGATACCAACTCACATTCCCAATCTTCTCCAGTATCTTTCCCTTGTCAATTAGCACCACAGGTTGTTTCAACTAAAGCTTCTGTAGTTAGCAATTAACTTTCAGTGGTTACTAATCTGTTTCAGAATTTAAGTGGAAAATGAGGTAGGAAAAAAAGGAACATGGAAACAATAGCAGCCACTAACCTAGTAATAGTTGCAACAGAAAAATACCAAATGAACATCATTTAAATAGAACTAAAACTTGGAAAAAAGAAACAGTACCAGAGCTCAAAAGCACCAAAGTAACAGGTAAAAAGGAGCAAATGGGATAAACAAATATATCACATGCATTCTGGAACACAGGTGTTGAAAGGAACTAAAAGCTTACATCAAGTAACTCACAGCAGGATAAACCCAAATGAACAAAACACCTATCCCATTGTTAACCTTCTAAAGAAATCTCTTGTGATTCTCTAGCTAGAGCAGTTAGCTTCAAGATACAAAGATAATTTGCTGGTGACTGACAAGAGATTTATCATTCAAAGTCAATTCATTATTATTATTATATATTAATAAATGTGTTGTCCTTCCCTCTTATGCATTCTATTGGAGTTTCAGGAAAAAAGTGAGTTTCATATAATGGAAGCAAACAGAAATGGTATCCATGCAACAACACATGGGAATGAAGATGTCCTTTGTCAAAGTGATTTTCACCCAATCATTTTTTCAATGAATCAAGTTATTCAATCAATGATAAAAATTTTAAAAAGAAAAGTTTTATGTAAAAAATATTAACTTTTGATTTGACATTTATGGACCAAAGCTTAGAATACACTTTTGCTTTTCCTCAACAAAGGTGAGAGCATCAACAATGAAGCTTTAACCAGGAAAAAAACCAAATACAGATACCTATAACTCTGAAGTCAGGACACAGGAAATTATCTTATGAAGGATTACAAGTACAACTTGAACTGACTGTAACTTAAATTGTGTATAGGGTGATTATATTAAGAAGATTTTATATATCTAAAGTTCAATTACTTATTTTAAAAGAAATGTTTGTAATAAATTATTAAATAAAAGGGTTGTAAAAGAATGCAAGTGTTGCAAGCAGGAAAGATCCCACCCTTACACAGAGCACAGAATCTCTTATCCAAGACCAGCTTGTGTGACAGCAGAAGTCACAGAACTGGGGAATGAAATGCAGAGGCATAACTGAGAAGCAAGGGTACGTTTTACTCACAGAACTCCTCCTCCAGGAGGTTTGTGTAAATTTCTCAGCACACACACTCCTTGCCCCTGTAGGTTTTTGGCTGTCTTGCTGGCAGTTACATCTAGTGGCCTTCATCACCCAAAAAAAAAAAGAGAATTTGTTAGAAAATACCTAAGCCCCTTGAAAAGCACAGCCAAGGCCCAGCATTCAGATGTCATGCATTACTTGGCAGTACAGCACAGTATGACTAAACTGTAGAAAACAGTATTTACAGTGTCACACAACTACTCCTTTCCCCAAAGTACAGTAAAAAATAATCAAGAATAAATGCTGACTTTTGGAAAGGGTTTTTTGATTCACTTAAATTTCCAAAGTGACTTAAAGAATGTGGTACCTTTCAATAACTACAAATGTAAGTTTTACTCATCTTTACAGCAAAGATCCTTAGCTGCAACAAGGTTTTAAGTTACTACAGTAATTATGTGTATGACCTATCAGTGAAGGAGAGGTTTCTTTGAAGAAATCTTTGAAGGCTGATGGTGTGAAAGACTGAAAAAATCATATTGAAATCATACTGTAATTGTACTGAAAAAGACCCAACACTTACTATAAAACACAAAAGGAGAGGGAGATAAAAATAAAAATAATCTTCAAGTAGAATAATATGCCCAGTACTTAGTAATTTTTAATAACAGTTTAAGCATACAGTGCCTCATCTTTACTCATTTCTGAACAGCTTACAGAATTATGTTCAAAGTGTTTGTTTTGGAACTTAAATATATTTAACAACAATACAAACATCTCACCTAGTGCCATGCATACAAATCACACCTGGCCTACAGAATTCAAAGGATTCCAGGTGTAGAGCTGCAAACACACTAGAACACGTGGAATCAGTCTGCTAACTGAACCTTTACAGACCCACAAGTCAGGTGGGTCTAAACAGAACCCAAATCTACCCTTGTTATACTGGAAGTGTAGGAAAAAAACCTAGACATCTAATCCTCTTAAAGCCTTCATAAGAATCATCTACTGGAGTTACACCCTGCAGTAAACACTTGGAATTTTGTTCAACATTTTGCATTGTACTTACAAGCTGATGCTCTAACTGGTTGATGGTTTCATCCTTTTTCTTGAGTTCATCTTTAAGTTGTCTGATCTCATTCAGCAGATCATCCATCTGCAATGGAACAGTGGACAATACAAAGTTTTTTGTAAGGGCTACACAAATCTAAATCAACACCTCTACAGGACATGTGACATCAGAATCCCATGAAGGACTGTCAGTAACATTAGCACATGCTTGCCTGCTCTTAACTGCATGGTGGGATGGGCTGTCAGCACACCACCTAAGGAGTGAAGAAACTTGACTAGAAGTCTCTTTAAGACACTGAGTTGAGCTGACTGACTAAATTTTCAGAATAAAGTATTAGCTGCATTTTTTTATGCAGTAATTCATCTGCTGTACAACCAACTGGCATCATGTACATGAACACCCCTACCCTTCAAACACTATAGTCCTCCCTACCCAACAAAGTCTCCTGATACTTTCAAGTTAAGTGACCTGTGAATTAAAAATTACCAGAATGATAGAAAAAAGAAAAAGTCCTTTAGAAACATAAGCATAACTACAATTGGTTAAAGCAAACTGCACAACTGATTTGAATACATCCTACTAAAATCTGAAGACTTAATTATGCAAAGACTAAGAAAACTGGTAAATATATGAGAGTCAATTTTAAAAAAATTTTCTATCACAAGCTAATTACAGACTGAGAGAGTTGGGGCTGTTCAGTCTGGAGAAGAGAAGGCTCCCAGGGGACCTTATTGTGGCCTTCCAGTATCTTTGGGGGGCTACAAGAAAGCTGGGGAGGGACTTTTTAGGCTATCGAGTGACAACAGGACTGGGGGAATGGGGCAAAGCTGGCAGTGGGCAGATTCAGGCTGGATGTGAGGAAGAAGTTCTTCCCCAGGAGAGTGGTGAGACCCTGGCATGGGTTGCCCAGGGAGGTGGTTGAGGCCCCATCCCTGGGGGTCTTTAAGGCCAGGCTGGAGGAGGCTCTGGGCAGCCTGATCTAGTGGGAGGTGTCCCTGCTCATGGCAGAGGGGTTGGAACTGGGGGATCCTTGTGGTCCCTTCCAACCCTGACAGATTCTGATCTGTTTCAGCAGAGGACTTTAGTGCCCTAATGGCTCAAGGGTTGGACTTGATGATCTTGGAGGTCCCTTCCAACCTAAAGGATTCTATGATTCTATGATTCTAATTTTAATGTATTTTATCTGCACCATTATAGCCAGACTATTAAGGGGCATACTTCCATTCAGCAGCACACATGTACTATTTTACAATACTTTTTTCCTCTAGTAATTATGACTAAGACTCTAAGATTTTGAAGGAGGTAACTAACTGCAGAAAGGCAAGCACAACAAATGCATCAGGCAACAATAAAAGATAAAAGAAGGCCTAATGTTTCCACTGGAGAAACCAGAGTTGCTCAAGGATGATGCATATGGATCTGAAGCTTTGGCAAATCGCTTCAACCCTGAAACCAGGATTTGGACAGATGACCTTCAAACAGGACTAAGACTGCAAGTGTTCTTCCCTTTCTCCTCTAATTTCATTGTGTCTTCAGCAAGTATTGTTCCCCTCCCATAAGTGCAGGATTAATGATCCTTCCATACTGATTTTACAGTAAGAGCCTCAGGCAATGCTACAAAACCTTACTCCTTCAGAAAGCACAACATTACAAGTCTGTGACCATAAAAGATGATCCTTTTTGTAGTATCCATTGTGATTGCTTTTTCCTTCAATACTCCTAAAACAATAAACTCATCTTTGACTTTGTGGGGTTCACATGGCTTTGAAGTTAAATCTGCAATATCTGCATTATCTCAGAGGCAACTTACCTTAGAGGAAAGATCCTTTCAGCTGTAATCAACAATAAATGTAACTAAAGCAAATAATTGCTTAAGTATTATATGATTGCACTTCAAAGTAAAAACTGTCTTTCCAAACTCTAAAAACAAGCAGGTAGAAACTTTTTGAGAGAAGTTAGTCTACAGCTGTTAATTCCCACATGACTGCTACAAATACTGAAAGATGAAGTTATTTTTTTTTTAATTGAAACTGAATTAGCATTTTTAAGTATGTCTTAAAATAAAAAAAAACTCCTGTCTTAAAGCCAAGAAGATGAAGTATATAAACGTTTGCTGGGTTTCCACTGAAATAAAAGAAATGAGCAAAAAGTGCTGCTTCACAGTAACATGGGAGTTTTTTGTTTCTGTTTTTTAAACACCAACAGCTTTGTACCTCATTCTGTAGAGTAAATCAGTGTCATTTACCTTAAAAGTTGACTCAGGTTCTTGTGGTTCTGGACTTGATGGAATTGAGAGTGGGATGTCCTGGAGTGACACATTTTCATCATTCTATCAGAGAACAAAACCAAGAAAAAAAGAATTTCCATATTACTTGCTGAAAAACATCTCTTGCAAACTTGCTTTCAAAGATGGAGAAATGACCTCTCTGCAGAACCTATTACAGTGTCTGATGCCTCACTGTGAATGTGCCTTTTTTTTTCCTTTCTAGAAAAGCCTCCCTTGCTGCAGTATGTGTACAGTGCCCAAAAAGGGCCATGAACAGCCTCCCTCTCCTCACAAAGCTGTATGAACAGCTGCAGCTCTGTCTAAGTACACTGTTTTTGCAGTTTTTCTGCTCAAAACTGGCCATTGTGTTCAAATGTGTTATATTAGGGAAAAAAAGGTGATGCTGTGTGATTTTAGAAGCTTCATTTCCATTGGTATCCACTCAAATAATGTCTGAACAATATCAAAGCACACAACCAAAATATTTCAGCGAGGAACTGTTAACTCAGAAAGCAACACTTGCTACAGGGTAGCCCAATACAAAATAAATTCAACCATGAGAACTAAATATCAATTGTAAAAACTGGAATCATACAAAAGTATTCTTTGCCCTGCCACAACAGCCATAACTTCTGAAATCAAGCACAGCAAGCTGGAACAGAAATAACCACAGTTACTAACAGATGATTGCCTAGACATGTCCTTAGATTCTTGTGACCACAAGACATGCAGCCATTGTGGGCCATACACAAAACCTGTGGTGCTCAACCATGGAAAGGTTCAGTGAGGTTGCAGAGTCAAGTCCCAGACTGACACTGATGGTGTCATCTCCTGGTACGTTCTCAGCTTTCTATGATGGTGTCATGTCCAGTCTCCATGTGACACGAAACTACAGCACAATTCCAGTACCTTTACTTCATTGTCATGGAAGACCATGCCCCCAAATTTCCCTGCTGTAAAAAGATTTATCCCATGCACCCACCCATGTCCTCCATCTGCTACCTTCTTAAAGGCAAGATTAACTCACCTTCTACCTTACAGTATTCTCCTTTTTCAGGTTACTGAGAGAGGAGTTTGTGTACCCAATGACCTCACTGTGCAAGACTGATTGCCTATGTAGAACATAAGAGCAGCATATCTCCAAACCTGCCTGAAGCCACTCTGAGGCTGAGCCAGCAATTTTTTGAGCTAAACTGCAGAGAAATATCAAGGAGATTGTCCAGATGCAAAGAAAAAAGGAAGAACTTCTAACAATCACATTGTTATTTCTCCTACAACCACAGATTACTTGCGGCCAAAATATGCACAAACATCACAACACTTAAAGAATAAAAATACTGAGAACTATTATAAAATTCCTAACTGCTTTTAGCCATGCTACAGACAGGCAAGTTTAGTTTCTATCACTTAGCTGTGATTTTTCTCTCTTGAAGTTTTCTGGTCTTGTTTCATTGCTCATTTGTTGTAGTTTTTTTTGGTGTTGGTTTTTGTTGTTGTTTTTTGGTTTTGGGGGAGTTTGGTTGGTTTGTGGTTTTTGTTTGGGTTTTTTTGTTGGTCTTGTTTTTGTTTTTTAAATAAAACCAAACAACACTATTAATTGAGAGACCAGTGAAATTTCAAGTCTTCTGAGTCCTCATAGCAAATATTTCAGCTTAAACTGTCCAACACACAATTGTATTTAATTCACAAGGAGCTGCTTGCCTTTTCTGGGAAGATTACCAGCAAGAGACAGGCTGCTGAAGCAGTTCACAGTCTGTGTTATGACAAAATCCTAGAGTGTTCTGAAATAATTTCCACAATAATATCATAAAGAAACAAATATTTTATCTGAAATATTTCTAAAATGCTGGAGGAAACGAGCAGCAAATAGAACCACCTAATCTGTTAATCTGTAAATGATTCTATATTTGTTATATTCTACATTAAGAGATTTCATCAACATTAGCTATTTTAAACAATTATTCAAACAAACACAGGCACTCAGAAGAAAAGCTACGTCAGATGGTCATAGTTATAATTGTGAAGGAGTAATCATGGGAAGGGAAAAAAAACAACAAACACAAAACAAGATAAATTATTTCAAGCAGAAGTATCTTGCATGGCTTTTAAAAGCTCTATTACACCTCTGGAAAACCTTTTATTCCCATTAAAATGCATGTGGAGTGGAGCAATAAAGCACTCTACAACAGCAGGTTAAGACTTAATTGCAAAGAAAGTTCCTAGGCTATGTATTCTCTGGTGATCTAGATCATGCACTCCAGCACTATGCCATAAAGTGACTAATATTAACTAGCACAGCAAGAACTAAGTTCATTTTCAGAAATTCCCTTACCACTGCCTAAATTATCCTCATCTATATAATGAACACAGGGCAACTTAAATAAAATTCAGTTCTAATACTATCAGTGGGAACTTCAGCATCCTGTTGTGAACATATTTCTTGTCTTGCTTTTCCTTTCTCTCTCATTGTACTGCTAAAATGAGATTGGGGAAGGGGAAATCAGCAGAATAAAGCTATCCATGTACAAGAAGGAGATTAGAATTAGCATAAAGAAAACAGCAATAGGAACATAAATAAAACTGGTTATATGCACATGCTATTTTTAGTAGCCTACAAATGATATGCTAAGGTCTCAAACTATCAGGAATTTTGAGAACATACCTTTAACCTTTAGGTAAAATGACAGTAAACTTTATAAAGGTATCATCACATTGCAATAAGACATATAAAAAGCTGCTGCTTCTCAGGTTTTATCTGACTAACGTCTTTTACAACAGTAGAATATATTATTTATTATAGTGTAATAACATTTTTCAAGCAATTGCACTAAACTCTTTTGTGCCAAATGTAAAAAAATGCTTGCAAAAACAAGAACTCAGGATAGCTTGGTATCCATACCAAAAACAAATGCTCAAATGCATTGAAA